AAAATCTACAAATATGTGGAAACTGAAAAATACACTTCTGAACAACCAATGGGTTAAAGAAGAAATCAAAAGGGAATTAGAAAATTATCTCAAAACCAATGAAAATGGAAATACGACAAATCAAATCTTATGGAATGCAGCAAAGCAATTCTGAGAGGAACGTTTACAGTGATAAACGCATATACTAAGAAATTAGAAAGTTCTCAGTCAACTTAACTTTACACCTTGAAGAATTAAAAAAAAAGAAGAACAAATTAAGCCCAGAGTTAGCAGAAAGAAGGACATAATAAAGATCTCTGCAGAAGTAAATGAAATAGACACCAGATAAACAATAGAAAGGATCAATGAAACTAAAGCCTGGCTCTACAAAAAGATAAACAAAATTGGCAAACCTTTAGCCAGGCTAACTATGAAAAAAAGAAAACTCAAATAGATAAAATTAAAAAGAAGATATTACAACTGATACTACAGAAATACATAGGACTATAAGAGACTATTATGAAAAATTATATGCCAACAAATTAGATAACCTAGAAAAAATAAATTTCTAGAAACACAAAACCTACCAAGACTGAATCAGGAAGAAATAGAAAATCTGCACAGACCGATAATGAGCAAAATTTGGATCAGTAATCGAAAACCTCCCAACATAGAAAACCCTAGGGCCAGATGGATTCACTGGTGAATTCTACCAAAATTTAAAGAATAATTAATACCAATTTTCCTCAGATTCTTCCAAAAAATTAAAGAGGCGTGAATGCTTCCAAATTCATTCTATGAGGCCAGCATTAGATTACTTTGGTAACAAAGTCAGACAGGGACAACACAAGAAAAGAAAGCTATAGACCAATATCTCTGATAAATATAGGTCCAAAAATTCTCAACAAAAAATTAGCAAAACAAATTCAAGAACACATAAAATGGATTATACACCACAACCAAGTGGGATTTACCCCTGGGAGATGCAAGGATGGTTCAACATATACAAATCAATAAATTTAATACATCACATTAATAAAATTAAAGATAAAAACTTACGTGATCATGTCAATACATGCAGAAAAAGCATCTGACAAAATGACATCCTTCCATGATAAAAAGTCTTGGCAGATTGGGTATAGAGGAATATATCTTAACATAATAAAGGTCAGCCATAACAAATCCACAGCTAACATTATACAAAATGGAGAAAAACTTGGAAGCTTTTCCCCTAAGATCAGGAACAATACAAGGATGCGCACTCTTACAACTCTTATTCAGTATAATACTGGAAGTCCTAGCTAGAGTGAATATGCAAGATAGGGAAATAAAAGGCATCCAAATCAGGATGGAAGAAGTAAAACTGTTGCTACTTGCAGATGATATGATTCTGTATATAGAAAATCTGAAATGCTCAACCCAAACACTGTTGGAACTAATCAATTATTTCAGTAAAGTTGCAAGATACAAAATCAATATAGATAAATCAGTTGCATTTTTATACACAAAGGATGAAACATTTGAATAAGAATAAAAACTTTTCCATTCACAATAGCATGAAAAAGAATAAAATACTTAGGAATAAATTTAACCAAGGAACTGAAAGATCTGCACAACAAAACTCACAAGACTTTGCTGAAACAAATAGAACAAGACACAAACTAATGGAAAGATACCCCATGTTCATGGGTCAAAAGAATTAATATTGTTAAAATGTCTATATTTTTCAAACCCATATATAGATTTAATGCAATCCACATAAAAATACCAATGGCACTCTTCACAGAAATAGAAAAAGAATCTTAAAATGTATATGTAACCACAGAAGACTTTGAAGAGCCAAAGCAATACTGATGAAAAAGAACAAAACTGGAGGTATTACAATTCCTGATTTCAAACTACACTACAAAACTACAATAATAAAAAACAGTACAGTACTAGTACAAAAATAAACACATAGACCAGTGGAACAGAATAGAGAGCCCAGAATTAATCCCCTGCTTATACAGTCAATGAATATTTGATAAGGGAGGCAAGAGCACACAATGGGAAAAGGATAGTCTCTTCAGCAATTGGTGCTGGGAAAACTGGATGAATACATGCAGAGCAATGAAACTGGATCCCTATATTATATCACTCACAAAAAGTATCTTGAAGAGGATCAAAAATTTAAATATAAGACCTGATATTATAAGACTCTTAGAAGGAAGTGTAGGGAAGAGGCTCTTAACATTAGTCATGGCAACGACTTTTTCAATACAATACCAACAAAAGCACAAACAACAAATGGAAAAATCATCAAACTTAAAACTTAAAAGCTTTTGTGCAGCAAAAGAAACAATTAGCAAAATTAAAAGGAAACTTACAGAATGGGGGGAAATTTTTGCAAACCATATATTGGATAAGGGGTTTAATATATAAAGAATTCATACAACTCAATAACAAAAAACAAAAAATCTGATTGAAAAATGGGCACAACTAAACAATTTTCAAAAGAAGACATACAAATGGTCAACAGGTGCATAAAAAGATGGTCAACATCACTAATCATCAGGGAAATGCAGATTAAAACCACAATGGGATATCACCTCACATCTGTTAGAATGGTTGTCATCAAGAAGACAAGAGATGACTAGTGGTGATGAGGATGTGGAGAAAAGGGAACACTTGTACAAAGGTGGTAGGAATGTAAATTGGTGTGGCCACTATGGAAAACATATGGAGGTTCCTAAAAAATCTTAAAACAGATCCAGGAATTCCACCTCTGAGTATTTATCCAAAGAAAATAAAAACACTAACTCAAAAAGGTGTATGCACTCCCATGTTCATGATGGCATTAGTTACAACAGCAAAGATATAGAAACAACCTAAGTGTCCATCAACAGCTGAATGGGTAAAGAAAATGTGGTACATATACAATGAAATATTGAAAGATGGACATCCTACCATTTGTGACAACATGGATGGACTTTTAGCGCATTATGCTAAGTGAGATTTGTGACAACATGAATGGAATTTTAGCATGTTATGCTAAATGAGATGTCAGACAGAGGAAGACAAGAACTGTATGATACCACTTACATGTGGAATGTAAAAAAGCCAAGTTTTAAAAACAGAATAAAATGGTGGTTACCAGGGGATGGGAGGACAGGATGGATGTTGTCTAAGAGTATAAACTTACAACAAGTAGAAAATATGCCCTAGAGATGCACAGATCAATGAATATAGACGACAACATTGTACTATAATCATAAAACTTGCTGAGAGACTAGAAACTAATTATTCCAACTACTAAAAATAAAGAATAATTACATACTGTGATGGAAGTGATAATTATTCCTATGATGGCAATCATATTACAATATATGAATGTACATCTTAAATTTACACAAAGCTATATGTCTAATATATTTCAAAAAAAGGTTGAAAAGAAAATATAAAAGATAAGACATGAGGAAATAATCACAGATTTGGGGTAATAAAATACTAAATAACTACTATGTTCTATCACAACATAGTAATTTAAAACATACTGGCATAATTGACTATTCATACGTTCACATGTACACACATGACCAATATTAACTCAGTTAAATGTTTATTGACCTATAAATATAGTAGAAGTGGAAACATTTTTCATTAAAGATAACCTCCTACAAAAGGTGCCAGACCTTGAAAATTGTATATAGTAAATGATAATACCTTGCTAAGTTGAATTTTTTTCAGAGAATTTAATATTTTTTGGCAAGTAAAGAAGGCACCTTTTATAGTTTCTCATTTATGTCTTTGGATATCTAAAAGCCAATGTTATTTTATGGAGGGAAAATAACCCAATGGGAAAAGGACAGTAAGTTTTGGAGGAATACCTGTGAATACAATGAACATATTCATTGTAGGAAATTTATAAAATGTGGACAAACAAAAAATGATAAGGTCCAAAAATAAATATTCTTAATAGTTTAATGTATATTGTTTCAGATATGTGTGTGCACGTGCATGTGTGTCTATGGTTATATTTTCTCTGGTATATTTGGTGGCTGAATAATATTCCGGGATGTAGATATATAAATATACTATCTATTGCTACTTGGATGTGGCATCTCTATCTCTAATTTTTCATGGTATACTTTTTACCTTTCTTAAAAACTTATCATAACCATTTTTAATAAGCCTTATGTCTTCCATCAGCTATTTACAAACCATGATTTCTAACATTTTCCACTACCATAAATATGGTTGCATTGAGTGTCTTTGGATGAAAATCACGGGAAAAGTCCATGATGATTATTTTCTTGGGATAAATTCTGGGAAATGGAATTGCTAGGTCAAAGGGTATTTGCATTTAAGGCTTTAGTATATATTGCTCATTAGCCTTCCAGAAGTTTGTGCCCACTTTTACTGCCATCACTTCTGCATGTGATACTGATTTCTTCACAGCCTTAATACTTTACCAATTTGCAATCATTCTTCTATGTTCCTCAAAATTTTGGAGATTCACTTTACAATATTCCACTGAAAAGATGAATGGCCAACTAATCAAGAACAAATACAACTAGGGCATGAGCTTGGAAGAATTTGAGGGAAGAATAAAGAGCAGAATAACCCGAGGCTTGGGAAAATTGCTAAGGATTGTAAGATCTTTTATGCTTCAGAGTAAGAATGATAAGAAAGGGAGTAATCTACTTCCTGGGCTTATAATGTGATATTAAGAGGTTGTAGAGACAAAATTAATTTTCTTTAGTATCTTTTAAGTTTAGTCACTAAGGAGAATGATCATTATACTGAGAGTTTATTATCAAAGTAGGAAAGTGGGGCAATTTTACCTGAGTTTAAGTCCATAGTTTCAGATAAATTACCTCCTAAAGTGAAGAAAAACCAGGAGGACCGTGCAGCACATGACTCCAAGTTTCAAACAACTGAGAGACAACTCTGTGCAAGAAGGATTCAATTCCTTCTTCATAATTCCAGGGACAAATAAGGATCAAATGGAGGGAATTATGGGAAAAAATAATTCAACTCACTCTCACAAATAGGTGCCTTTTTATCCCAAGTGACATCAATGCCTGAGAGGAGACAAGTAGCAGAAGGGGAACCAATGAGTCGATACCTAGAAGCAAAGGATGAAAAATGGTTAGACTCTACACAGATTTCCCACTTAAATCACCATGAGAAAACAATAGCAGGAGGATGTTACAAATTACAGGACAGATTAAAACATGAGAGACCTCAAGAAAGAAACCCCATCTCCACCTACAAATTAGTCTTTATTCTTCAGGGCAAGCTAAAATTCGTACCTCTTTAATCCATCTCCATTCCTAGTCCCCTCACAACTCATTGCAATATTCCCATTATTAATCATGGGACACTTCTGTACTTGTCTTAAAGGTACCTCAGAATTATTTTATCCATTTGTACTTTCAGCTAAGAAATTATAAGCGCTTGATTAGGAGGGAAGATGCCTTACTGAAATATATACACCCTTTAGCACCTAGCCTAGAGACTTTCAAGCATGTGGTGCTCAAAAATATCTACTGAGTGAAGGAAAGAATGATGGCTTTACCCTGAAGACTTAGTAAATGAGAGTCAGAGGAAACAGCTAACCATTTTACCTTTCAAATGTAGAAAGCAGGGGTACTCACCCACTGTGTCATAAAATCATTCTAAGTAGGTCACAAAATTTGAAACTTCATCATTTATTTTTTATTTATTACACCTCTATGCTGTTACTGTGAGAAATGTCACAAAAGATACTCAGCCAAGCTATTCATATGTTCCAATGTACAGCAGGGCTAAACTTGATAAAGTAAAAAGTGATGGGTGTAATGCAAAGTCACATAACAGTGAGGTAGTTACTGCAACAGTTAAGAAATCTGTCTTTTGATTACCTAGGACATGTGATCAGGGCAGTACCCATTTGTAGCAGAGACTACTGGAATCTCCAGCATCCACTTTTCTTCATTATTAACATGACCCTGTATTTTTAACTGGGCCATTGGCCACTTTCAAAAACAGCTTCATTTCTCAGCTTCCCTTACAGCCGTGTGACTATGTTCTGGCTGGAGGGATGTAAATGGAGTGTCTGGAAAGTGTCTTCACAGGGATAAGTGTTCCCTTCCTCCGTTCTTCCTCTTTGCTAAATGGAGTTTGGACCATGAGTTGAGATGGACTCTCTAATGGAAGGATCCCAAGTTTCTGTGGATCTTAGAGCCACTGTATGAGCCCTGGGCCGCCATGGTTCTTAACATGAGAGATAAGTGAACTGCTGTCTTGTTCAAGCTCCTGTTATTTTGTGTTTTTTCTGTCTTTTATAACTTAATCTAATCTTAACTGGTATACCAGCTCTTCCCAAAACAGTAACAAAAAGATGGTGGGAGCCACGTTGGTACAGCAATGACAGTGAATATTTTGGTAGACACGGTAAGTCACTTTTATATTTAGGTAGTGATTAAATTTTACTTATTGTTACCTTGTTTTTTATGAGCTGTGTTCTAAAATCTTTTAAGTGTGCAAACAAATATTTAATCTTCAAAATGTCTGCAAACAAACATTTTGAGAACCACTTTAGTAAGGAAAGAGGATAATCATCCCTGTACTACATGTGTGTTTCCTTCCGCCTGTCTCCTATCAGACATTTAAATGTTGCCTTAGGAGCACAGGGCCATGGGTATCCTCTGACTTTTGACCTTATAAAGGCTACTCTTAATGTACTCACTATGACTAAACTAGAGCTTTGGAGTAAAAATGTGAAGCAGGTTCCAGCCCCTGTATGACTGTAAAAAGCAGTGAATATTTTTGAACATATTGTAAGACACTAGTATGCTGCAGTAGTGATTATGTTGTAATATTTTTCCTGGATGGATTTTCCATCTCTGTGAATTACTTTTACTGGAGCCCACTCAGTTCCCCTGAGCATTAGAAATCTGTATAGTTTTCTGTATAGAACCACTCTAAATTGTTGTTCAAGAGCCATGAGATTCCTTTCCCTATAAGCATCATACATACTGTGGAGAAGCGTGCTGAGGCACTGGACAGCCCATTAAGTAAGGTCAGGGATGGGAGAATCAAGGGCTAGGATGGTGTCATTTTTATTTTTTCCTATTTGTTCATGTACTTTGAACTATTTAGCAGTGGAGGGAATCTATGGAGACATTCAGTAGGCTGCAAATTACTAAAAGTAGCTCACAGATATGATTTTCAGCAGCCCTCTTTTTTTAAAAAAAAAAAGAAATTTAAAATTGAATTTTATTGGCTTATAAAAGTTAACATACATTCATTGTAGACATATTTGGAAGTTGTGAATAACCCAAAGATCAAAAATGTCACCACCCAAGATAGCACCACTCGTAGTAGCTAATATTTTGCTATGAATCCTTCTAGCCTTTTTATCTAAAAATATACGTGTAACCCAGGTGTCAACTGGGCTTAGCTACCTTTAGAAGAAAGAGCTGGTTAAATTGGACACAAGCACCAATTCTACATTTGTAAAGTACAGATTCCCATCTGCCCTCCAACCCCCTCCAAACATTCTCAGATTTCTCAGCCCCATCAGTCCTACAGATGACTGCAGCCCCAGTCAACATCAAAGACACTATCAAGAGAGTGAAAAGATAAAAGGATAAAAGAAAATATGTGGAAATCATTTATCTGAGAAGTGTTTAATATACAGAATATATAAAGAACGCCTATAACACAACAACAAAAAGACAAACAACCCAATTGAAAAATGGACAAAGAACTTGAATGGACATTTTTCTAAAGAAGATATACAAATGTACAAAAGATATACACATGAAAAGATACTAACAATTATTAGTCATTAGGGAAATCCAAGTCAAACCCAATTCAGACCTTCCAGGATGGATGGCTATAATAATAACTCTTTTGAGTTTTTTTTTAATAATAACTTTTTAAAAATGGAAAATAAAAGTGTTGGTGAAGATGTGGAGAAAATGGAATGCTTGTAATCGTTGGTGGGAATGTAAAATGGTGCAGCCACTGTAGAAAACAGTTTGGCTATTCCTCAAAAAGTTAAATATATAATTAACATATGGTCTAGCAATTCCAATCCTAGCTATATATCCAAAAAGACTGACAACAGAGACTCAAGTAGATACAGGTTTATCAGCTGATTTATGTATTTTTAAGTACATCTTGGAAACTGTATTTTTCCTACAAAATGGCACATTTCATGGATGTTTTCAATTTCATTAGGCTAGAGAGGATATACTACTTTTATTTAGTATTGATTGAATCCCTTCAATATCTACGATATCTCCTTTCTCATTCACGTGTATTGGCAGATTTGTTATTTTGTGAAATTACAATTGGCCAAATTCCGTTTGTTTAATTGGCCACTTTAAGAAACTACTCTGAGATTTTTACTTATCGTTTCCCTTTTTCCTTTTTATTAATTTCCTTTCTTTATTAATTTCTTAGTCCAGCTTCTTTTATATGTTCATGTTCTAGTCATTTAAAAATTCTTAGGTAAAATGCTTTGTTCATTTATTTGAAAACTTTTTGTCAGATAACAAAAGTACTGACTATTTCTCTAAGGACAGTTTTGGCATCAGTATCCCAGAAATTTTCACGAGTAATATTTGCACCAGCATTCATAACGAACAGGCTGAATAATGTAAGGTTTACCAATACGGGCTGTGGAGGCAGACGCAATATTCAAATTCTAACCTGAGCCTCTGTCCTGTGAGTTTTGGTAAATTGGTTCATCTCTCTGTCTTAGTTTCTCTCCTGTAAAATGGGGCTATGTGTAATATTCACTTCAAAGAGTCATTTTCAAGAGTAAGTTAATTCATGTAAAGCACTAGAAGAGTTCTCAGGGCTCATGCACTCAATAATCATTCCTTATTGTTATTTGATATGTAATCTGCAATGTCTGTTTTAATTTTCTCTTTGACTAAGATCCAAAACTTGAATTTTTATTTATTCTTTTGTCATTAATTCCTAGTGTTATTTTTATTATAATAAGAGTATATCGCTGTTTTAGTTTCTCCTGTGTTCAAATCTATTGAGGCACACCCTGTGGAGTGATATGCTATCAACTCTTATAAATGGTTCCTAGAAAGAGTTTGCATTCTCTGTAAGGTACAAAATTCAATACACATGTACCAAAACAGCCTCATCCATCAGTGTCTTATTTTTTGTACCTTTGCTTACCCAATCTGAAGTTTTCAACTATTATTATTATTTTATCAATTTATCTTTTTACTTCTTTTTAGAACCCCCTTGACCTGGAATAATAAAAGAAATTGAGGAAAACTAATGCTCTTTCATCTAACCATAGGTTGGCAAACTGAGTTCTGCAGGCCCCATGTATGCTGTATCACACATTCATTCATTCACTGTCTAGGGCTACTATCCCACTGCAACTGCAGAGGTGAGTAGTTATAACAGAGATTATATGGCCCACAAATCTGAAAGTATTTACTATCTGGGTCTTGACAGAAAAAGTTTGCCACCCCTTTGTCAAAGCAATCTGCGTTTTATTTGTCCAGGTTAACATCTGCTCCTTGGCTATTTGTTTATTTAAGTTTAATTTATTTCTTTTCAGTAACTTAACAACAGAAAATTACAACATATGTTTTTGCTTAGAATACCATGTATTTCAGATAACCCTACTTTCTCTAAGCACATTCAAACATATATATGCATATAGAGTATCTCCTCAAAATTTGTCATTGTTTTTCCAAGTTGAAAACAAACTCTACAAATTGTTTTCTCAGTCAATATCACATCATGATCATCCATCCAGATCACTGAATATAGGATCTAATTAAGTCTTTTTGATTGCTGCAAAATAGTGCATGTGTAGATACCTAACAATTTCTATAGTGGCGGCATCATTTTACATTCTCACCAGCAATGTACAAGGATTCTAATTTCTACACATTCTCACCAACACTTTTTATTTTCTGTTTATTAATAATTATTATTAAAGTCATATTAAGAGGTATGAATGGGTTTGATTTGCATTTACCTAATGGTTAATAATGTTTAGCATTTTTTATGTGTTTATTGGCCATTTGTATACCTCCTTTGGAGAAATGTCTTACTCAAGTCCTTGGCCCATTTAAAATTGGGTAGTTTTTTTCTTGCGGAGTTATAGAGTTCTTTATATATTCTGTATATTTAATTTTGTCAGATATATGATTTGTAAATATTTTTTTCTCATTCTATGAGTTGTCTTTTCACTGTCTTGATAGTGTCTGCTATGGTCTGAATGTTTATGTCTCCCCAAAATTCATATGTTGAAATCCTAACCTCCAAAAGTGATGGCATTAATAAGTAGGGCCTTTAGGAGCTATGTCATAAAGGTGAAGTCCTCATGAGTGGGAGTAATGCTCTTATAAAAGAGACCCCACAGAGCTTCCTAACCCCTACACCATGTGAGGACACACTAGAAGCATACACCTAGAAGAGGACCTTTGTTGACCCTGCCAACACCCTGACCTCAGACTTCCAGTTCCTAGAATGGTGAGAAATAAAGTTCTGTTGTTTATAAACTACCTAGCCTGTGATATTTTGTTATAGTAAGCTGAATGAACTTGATAGTGTCTTGATGCAAAAATGTTCTTAATTTTAATGAAACCCAATTTGTCTATGTCTGCTTTTGTTGCCTGTACTTTTGGTGTCATATTTAAGAAACTATTGCCAAATCCACGGTCATGAAGATTTGTCCCTATATTTTCCTCTAAGAATTTTATAATTTTAACTTTTAACTTCAAGTCTTTGATCCATTTTGATTTAGTTTTGTATATGGTGTAAGGTGGCTTCATTGTTTTGCATGTGAATATCCAATTTTGCCAGGACCATTGTTGAAGAGACAGTTCTTTCCGCAGTGAGCGGTCCTTGCACCCTTGCTGAAAATCAATTGACCATAAATATGCGGCTTTATTTCTGGGCTATCACTTACTCCGCCGGCCTGTGTGTCTAACTTTATGTCAGTAACATACTATTTTAATGACTATAGCTTTGTAGTAAATGTTGAAATAAAAAGTGTGAGTCAACCAACTTTGTTCTTTTCAAGACTGGGTGTTCTGGGTCCCTTGAAATTCCATACAAAATTTAGGATGGTTTTCCATTTCTGCAAAAAATACTGTTGGGATTTTTGTAGGTATTGCCTTGAATCTGTATATCATCACTTTGGGCAGTATTTTCATCTTACCAATACTAAGTCTTCCAATCCAAGAATATGAATGTATTTCCATTTATTAAGTCTTCTTTAACTTCTTTTCAGCAATGTTTTATAGTATTCAGTGTATAAGTCTTATGTCTCCTTGGTTAAATTTATGTCTAAGGATTTTATTGTTTCATACAATTATAAATGGAATTTTTCTATTATTTTATTTTAGAAATGTGTCTTTTAATTATCATGTAGTTTGAAGTTTTTATTGACTATATTTAGAAGGCATTGTTCTTCAAAAGGGGATTTTAAGCCATCACACGTACTGTAATAACTTACACATTTTATCTTGCTTATAGTGTTCTTTCCTTTTATTTATTTAACAATTCCCAGGGTTGGAACTCAGTACTGTATAAAACGAGCTCCATTCTTGCTCTGCTGATGCTGTTTCCAGCAAGAGAGATAGAAAGCTTCCTAGTTCTTCCTTTTCTTACCCCTCTTTTGTCATATGGACCAAGTGGTTGTGCTTTTTGGATTGCCATTGTGATTTTGAATTTATATATTTTGATTTTATACTAGCATGGAATAATATCTATCTTCTTTATTTATCATGTCAAGAATATGTACTTATCTGTATGTATTATAAGTTAAGCATACATATATATATATTTATTTATTTTACTGCATCACCAACTTCCTAGTTGTTGTGATAAAAATCTATTATTTTATATCAAGTTTACTATACTTCCTTTCATACATGAGTTCTCTTTTAAGAATTAGTTCTGCCATTATATTTAGTTTCACAACCATACTAAAAATAACAACTTTAACTCTGTTTAAATAGTTTTGTGACTCACTACTATTTCTTTGATTTCTTCTTTCAAAAATTTACTCATATTTTTGTGAGAATTATTCTTTTTTCAGGAAGCATATCTAATTGGCATATGTTTTGGGTTCTTACTCATGTAAGACTATATATCTGTGCCTTGGAGATAAATGACAGCTTGGCTGAGCACAGATATTTTATGGCATAATATTTTCTCTCGAACACTAATTTCTGTAATTTAGTGTGTGGAAGAGGCTTTTGATGCCAAAATGAAGTTCTTCTTTTTCTGTTTATCTCTCGATAGTTGCAGTATTTTTATTCAGTATCTGAATTTCATACATTTCCTTCATGTAGGGCCAGTGACTCTTACCATTAACCTTGCATTTGTTTAGTAAGCCTTAAAGATTCAAACGATCTAGGCTTTTTTATTCTGGTCTGAGAAACTATCTTCCATTATGTGCTAATTAATGCTTCAGTTTTTTCTGGTTTCTTTTGTTTTTCTCATATCTAAATTGTGTGTGAGTGAATATGTGTATAATTTCCAGTTTTGTCCTGGATTAATTCTGGAGAATTTAATCTTATTTTCTAATGATCTCTTTGTTTTTTTCCTGGATTCAATCTCCTGATTATTGCTGCTTTTTAGATTCCTGTGTGTTTTATCCATAGGTAAATTTTCCTAATATCAGCTCAGTAAATCTTATAAATGCCTTTCATAGATTCTATGTTATAAACACATATGAGAGATTTCTAATATCTTATTTTGTAGCTTATTCCCATGTTTATTGGAATACTCTGATTTATAGAGGAATATTTTCTCTGATTTCTCAAATTGGTCTTTTTATTTTCAATTGCTGTATCTTACCTTATATTTAATGATGTTTTGGCTTGCTCACCACAGAGAGTTTTAGGCTTATGTCTGAGGGGAGGTGAGAAGGGACTGGTGATGAGATTGTATGGAAAGTTTTTAAGTCTCTCAAGCTCAGACAAAGTGAGAAGGGGTGAATATTGATTTATCCTAGTTTAAACTTGCTGGATCATAGGTATAATAGCTTGGGCAGAATAGCATGGGGCCGATGACTAGGGACAGTTTTTGCAGGAAGATTTAATATAGATATCTTTTTTCCCTCTAAGTTATTGTGCCAACTGAAAATTAGTAAACATTCTTTAATTGCTCCCTCTAAGTTGAGGCAATGGCTTCTAGCATGTTTCCCCATTCCAGGGAAAAGTCAAGTGCAAGAACTCCCTTAAGGTCCCCACTCTGTGTGCACTTTAACACTTACATTTCCCAGAGCTGCTGTTACCTTTAATATTTATCCTCCCAAACCCTGCCCCAGGATCCTCTAATCAGCTATACACCCGCTAACCTGTTAAGGATGTTTGCATAGTTCAACCAGCATTTTTCCTTTTATTTGGCAAGCTGGTCCTTTTTATTCAGTGAATATCTTTCTCATGTACTACCTTCAGCAGAAGCATGGTGCCCTCCCCTAGTTTTAATACAGGTACACATTGCGCCTTCTTTTTTTAGATTCCTTGGTCAAATGCCTATGTTGTTCAAGCTACCATCTCTACCCAAAAGTCCTATTGCTTACTTTTTGAAGTACATACGTCAGTAGTCTGGTTTGTATATCTTAGACTGGGTGGAAGGTTGGCATTGCTGTTCTGCAACTCACATTCCAAAGATAGTGCTCCCAACTCACCCTTTATTGCATGAATAATTAACTGTTGATCCAAACTGCGTATCTGTGTTTATATAAACCATGCCATTGAAGGGTTCTGGAGGTTTTCCACATGATTTTCCTACAGAAAAGAAGCAGAATTCGGGATGAGGTGTACAGTTCAATTTACATTTGTTTTTAAGATTCAGACTGGAGTGCAGCATACTGAACAGCCTGTATACTTTTGATTGTTCTACAGAATTGACCACTTTGAGGAAACTCACCATACAAGTAGCTATAGGGCACCTGCTTTTAAAACGACCAGTGAGCATCACCCAATAAAGGTCATTTGTGGTTTTCCATCCCATCAGCCTAAATCAAAGGCCTTAAATTTGGGATTTTCCTCCTATCTTAGTTAGCCAAGCACAATTCACTGTGACCCACATAATTTTCTTGTGCCCCTGTTTTATTCATTTCATGGTTTTAGCCACCAAGTGTAACCTCCAGTGAATGGAAATTTTTTCTCCAATTCCTCTTGTGAGAGCCATTCCTATGAAATGAATATCTAGTCAAGGTGTAGAAATGCAAGGCAATAAGAAGGGATGACTTACAAGTCCACCCTCCATTTAAATATCTTGGGCAAACTTAGATGCCTCACCTTCAAAATTTGAATAAATTAAATCAGATCTCACAGATTCTTTGATATACATAAATTGGCTCCCAGGAAGGGGTTACTCATATCTCTAAATATCTTGGCACTTGACGAGACCAAGTTTTCTAAGCAGGTGATAGAGAACATATTTTCAAAATACCCAAGGAAGCATTCATAATTCAAAGATGTCCCAACTGGAAACTCAGACTCATCAGTCAGGATTGTAGGCTTTGTAAATGGAAACTGTTTAGGGGCTTTACAATACTTGAAGACCAAAACCACAGAAATATCAAAGTAAGCAGAGAGACTTCCACCCTATCTCCTCTTTCTCTCCAACTGAGCTGATAGATGGGATCACAGAAACAGAGACATAGTAATGGCAAAAGAGTTTCTTCCCCTAAGGTAACCCCTGAAGTTACCTTAGGATGGTGCTTTACAATAGCATCTACCCATCAGGAAATTTTTACTGCTTGGAAGACTATTCACCTTTTTGGCCTTTCTCTTCAGAGCAAGAGTTTTAGTCAATAGTTTCACATGCCAGGCCTTCTATCAGGGTGCCTTTATCTAGAGTTAAGTTAACCATTACATCCTCATTTACTGGTGTTAACATACTCACGTATATTAAGACATATTTACTGTCTCTTTTCACTTATTCCTCCCTACCTCAGTCTCAGGATGCCTACCATAAGCTGCTTCTCTGGTACTAAATAGCAGTCACCACTTGTAGTGGGTGAATGATGTCCCCTGCAAAGATACAACCATCTAAAACATTAGAATGGGAACTCATTTGGAATAAAGGTCATTTCAGATACAATTAAGGTAATGATCTTGAGATGAAATTATCCTGGATTACCAGAGTGAACCCTAACTCCAGTGACTGCTGATGTCCTTTTATTTTTTTGCTTTTATTTTTTTTTATTGGAGGATAATTGCTTTACAATGTTGTGTTCGTTTCTGATGTACAACAAAATGAATCAGCTATACGTATACATATATCCCCTTCCTCTTGCACCTCCCTCCCAACCTCCATCCCACCCATCTAGAGCATCACAGAGCGCCTCATCCCACCTCATCACAGAGCACCAAGCTGAGCTCCCTGTGCTTTTAAGAGAGAGGAAGTGGAGATTTGAGACACAGAGATATTGGAGAGAAGGCCATGTGAAGACAGAGGCAGGGATTTAAGTGATGTGTCCACAAGCCAAGTAATGCTAGGAGCCACCAGAAGCTGCAAGAAGGATCCTCCTTTTAGAGCCATAGGAGAGAGTGCAGCCCTAACAACACCTTGATTTCAGACTTCCAGCCCCTAGATCTGTGAGAGAACTAATTTCTGTTATTTTAAGCTACCTAGTTCATGGTTTATGGCGGCCCTAGGATACTAATAGACCATTCTTCTCATTCTGATGCAGATATTCAAGGACAAGGACAAAACAGACTAAGCATTCAGTAGCTTCCTCTAAGAAGCTAGGTCTTCTTTATGAGAGGGTATACTGTGTGCTGCATAATTTGAAATAGAGTCTGAACTCAACTATCTCCTCTTCGGTGGCGACTGCTTCTATTTGCCCATTCAATAAGCCTGGCTGGGGACCTAGGCAACTGCATTTAAAGAAATCTCACTGGATTCTGATACCTACTACCCAGTTGGAGGGTGAGGAAGATCAAGGAAAGGTTAAATGCCTCTCATCATGTGTAGCCTTTTCTCACTGGATTGCTCTTCTATCTTAGGGCTCCCCTGCCAATGATGTGGTATTCCAAGGTTGGTGCCACACCCCCACTCTACCCCAGCTTCCATTCTTCTCTTGCCCCACTCTCCTCACCACTCCACCAGCAAGTAGAATGATTAGCATCTTACCTAGTTAAACATCTTGGCACTGCTGGAAATATCTGTTTTAGCTATGGCATGTAATTTCGACACTTCCACTTATGACAAAGTTAAACTCACAAGAAAACACCATATCTCATTATAGAAATATAAAGGATGTGGTCCAGGTGTTCTGAACCCATTTAGGGTATATAGGGGTGGGCACTGACCAACAGGACCAGAAAGTTCACAGTGAGGGTCAGGGATGCTCCAAACCTCATTCCCTTGACTGTCACTTGTGCAGTGGATGGTGCTCTCCCTAAAGAGATTGAAAGTCATCCCTCTATCTGGGTGGGGGTCACATGTGCAAGATATTTCTTTTCCACAGGAAATGCCTCCCAGAGAAGTTCCTGTGTGGTTCCCATTAAGGATAGCCAGCAGATTTGGACAACAGATTTCTAAAAGAGCTAAAAGTTACATTAAAATGCTTAAATTTTCATCTGGGTCGATTTCACAATTGTGGGATTCTGTGACTGTGTTGCCAGTTCAACAACAATTAAACTCTTAGGGAGAGTACAAACTACAATATAAATATATTAGGACACTGCTGAGATGCAGCTAAATGAAGTTACATCAAAATCAATTTTTATTATAAAAGTCTAAAAGGGACTTAAGCATCCTGAACTCTTCAGCGAGTTAAGCCTTCTGGATAATTGAGGCTTAAATAAACAAAAATCGTCTTAACCACATCCATTTAACAAGGAAATTATCCATTATTTCACCAAGGTTTTTTTTCTTTTTTTTGAGCACCTACTATACAGCAAGTACTATTTTAAGCACAAAATAGGTGACATCTTTTAACATCAAGGATCTTCATCCTAGAGAATTTTTTCCAAATATATACATTTACTATTTGTCTATCCATGATTTAATCTTTTCTTGATACCTTGAGGCTGTTATTCTCAAAAGCAAAATGAATGGTTACAGAAATGCTGCCACAGTGAAATGAAACATCTCCATACTCCAGTGCGTGCTCCAAAGGCTCAAAAATGTTTTGACTTTTAAGATACTTATAGGTTTTACAGTTTGTTTTTATCATTGAAGAAATACACATTTCTTCTTTTGAGCGTTATGTATTTAGAGATGCTCCTTTCCCCTTCTGATCTGATCTGTATTTAGGAAGAGGATACTGCAGCTTGAAAGAATTACGGATAAACTAACTAGTCAAAGGGTGGAATAGCTTAACCAATGTTTACACTCTATTAAGTGATTTTAGGTATATCCTTGAGTTCATGGGAGTAATTTTCTTTCTTTCTTTCTTTCTTTTCTTCCTTCCTTCCTTCCTTTCTTCCTTCCTTCCTTCCTTCCTTCCTTTCTTTCTTTTTTTTTTTCTTTCTTTCTTTCTTTCTTTCTTTCTTTCTTTCTTTCTTTCTTTCTTTCTTTCTTTCATGTTTCTTAATTACATTAAGATTTTCAAATAGCTGACTTTCAAACATGAAAGATGTAACTATGGTTTCACTATATAAATCAGTACAATATATTCAAATAATATTAAAGCAAAGTATTCATTTGAAAAAATAAATATATATCTTTCAGTCATTACAATCAGAAGATGAAGCAACATCCTGGTGATTTAGTGAAGAAATAAATGTACAGATTGGATATATTAGTAGTGTTTCTCTATTTAACAGGTTACATTTCTGTCATGAAAAAAGAAAAAGCTCCCTAATCCCACTTCCCTTTGCAGCTGTAGTCCCTTTTCTCTACCCCCTTTACATTAGAAGTCCTCTAAGATGTTGTCTATGGTCTGTCCTTCCTCCCCTTCATTATCCCTTGAACTCATTCCAATCGGGCATTTGCCCCCACAACTCTACTGAACTGCTTTTATCGAGGTCATTCATTACCTCCAGGTCGCTAAACCCAATGATAATTTTCTGTCCTCATATTATTTGACCTCTCTGAAGAATATAACGCAGTTTCTGAGACTCATCTCCTTAAACAAAGTTCTCCACTTGTCTTCCAAGATAACTCATCCTCCTGATTTTTCTCTCAACACACTGGCTGCTTCTTCTTAATCTCCTTTTCTGATTCCTTCTAATCTTTCCAACATCTTAATGTTGAATTTACAAGGTTCAGGCCATGCATCTATTCTCTGGCCCCATTCACTCTCTGGGTGATCTCACTTAATCTCTATTTTAAACTCTATATCTAAACCATCAGCAAATCCTGTCATTTCTACCTTCAGAATATATCCAGAATTTGAATACTGCTTTTCACTTCTCTCAGTGTTATCCTGGGCCAACATCTCTGGTTAGATTTTTGCAATAGCCTCCCAGCTTGTATCCTCAGCTCTACCCTCAGATTTTCTTGGCTACAGGTATCTTTTGGGCCTTCAGTTGCTTTCTCAATTGAGAGTGCTGATACCACTGCTACCTCATTTCCTGACAACACTGGCTGTGTCAGCACCCCCAAGGGTGAGATGGGCTTCTGCACAGCCTGTGCTGTACCACTGCAGTGGAGGTCACAGTAGTTCTAAATCGAAGCCAAAGTGACTGGATCCATGTCCACTCTGGCTCCTTCTATCACTTCCTGGCTTAGGTGGAGTACCAGGCAACAGATCATGGGCTCTAGTGTCCCCAGAGTCTGATCAGGGAGAGAAATAATACAACATGAAATCCAAGGACTTAATAGCCTTGGAATAAACAGAAGATGAGAGACAGGAAAGACGGAGCAGATAAGTTGCTCGTTCTTTCTCTTCTAATGGTCAGTTCTGGTTCCACAGAATCTCTCTGGAGATGTCCTATATGGCCAAACAACCAGCCGTCTTTCTTGTGAAGCTTATGGCCACTTCAATAACACAATCTCTTTTATTTATCTGCTTTTCTTTCCTCTCCACCTCCCTTTTTGTTTTCCTTCACCTTTGCTGCCCTGGGACTATACCCTCCAGTAGAGCATTATAACTCAAACTTTGTCTCTGGCACTGTTTTTTGGGGAATCTCAGTCTAAGATACATCCTTTCAACTCAGCTCTCTCTAGAGTAGCCAGAGTGAAATCATTAAAAGTAAGTTAGAGGGGCTTCCCTGGTGGCACAGTGGTTGAGAGTTCGCCTGCCGATGCAGGGGACACGGGTTCGTGCCCCGGTCCGGGAAGATCC